GAGTCTTGTGGCCCACGCCCTAACACATGCGGCGGCCCAGCCACGATGGGGCTGCTCTGGCGGCTGCAATATGCATCTCTGGGAACGAAGGGAAGCGGAACCGGGGGCACAGGTGGGCGATGATTGCTTCGGACCGTCGCGGAACAGACGGATACGTCCTCGAAACTCAGGTACGTCAAGGAAGGTCCACATGCCCATGCTTACGCGGTCACCCTGGGCATCAAACAGGCGCAAGGTATGCTCTCCCACGGGCATCAGAGAACGGGAGCAAACACGTGGATCCTCGATGTCAACACGTCAGTAGGCGGAATGGGCGTGCAGCTACACAAGCGTCAAGACGGGAACGGACGTCAAGCAGAAACATGCAGGCTAGCCATTCTCCGTAAGTCTGGGGATAAATTGCAGGCATTAGGTCATGCACCAAACCCGTGCTCTACCTCGCATTCACACAACTCCCGGTACTCCCATAACACCTTTCACCATGCAAAGCAAGCACCAAGCGTCCATTATCAGGCACAAGCAACATTCAAGCTTGCATAAAAAGCACAAAAAGTACATAAAACTCAGTCACTATACATAACATTAATAACAGCATCAAAAAAATATTGTCAGTAATCAGAAGTATAAAAGGTGCAAAAATAAGCACAAAAAGTGCGGAAATAAGCACAAACACAAGTGTAAATACACACGTAAAACAATTACATACGGACCGATAAATTACAAAGCTAACTAATCTAATGCTGGCTGCAGGGCTTCAGGTGACCTCACAAGACCTAGCAATAGTACATTGAGGGGGTCATCTGGATCAGGGTCAGCCTCATCATGCACAGGCTGATCTACACCTTCGGGCATCATCATTTGCAGCTCATTCATCCCTTCACGCGCTTCATTCATACCTGCACGCAACTCTCTCATGCTCATCCGCGTCTCTTTTAGCCCCTCAAGCACACGCTCATACAATCCTCCCGCGGCGCCAAGCGGTTCAGTACTCAATTCTTGCGCCTCATGCACGTCCGACATACCACACGCACCCGTAGCTTCATCCATAAACCGTACTCTTCTGACGGCTCCTGCCGGATCGTCAGCAGACGCGCCCCTATCATCACTGCCGCTCGCTTCACGTGCATCACTCGCATCCATGGCAACACCGTCGCTAGTCGTGATTTTTGTATTTTTGCCGTTACGTAGTGGCATGCCTGCTTATCGCCAGAAGGACGTTACACAAATTAATCGGGGGAACACAAGTTAAACTGCACGCACTTTCTCGGCCTACTGGTGACGCAGCATTCGACAAAATAAACGCCAAGCAACGCACGACACTTACGTTAACATGTTTACGTTTCAAAACAAATAAATCGCTTGCGCTTATGACGCGGAACACTGCGTTACTTGCAAAAATATATATATACACAGAATTAAGAAATGCAGGAGTACAATGAACACAAAATGCACAAATACACGAGTGCAGTAAGCATGAAATACACAAATACACGGGTGCAGTAAGCATGAAATACACAAATACACGGGTGCAATAAGCATGAAATACACAAATACAGAAATGCGATGAGCTACAGCTTACCGTAGCAAGCAGACGAATGCGTATGCTAAACGAGTGGACATACAAGTATGTGCTTATACAGTTACATGTAACGAGCGGTCGAGAAGGTGCGTAAGCATTGACAAATATAATAATACCTACACCTAACTACGGTCCGTAACATGATAATAGATCGATGGTGTGTACTAACAAAAAGGTTCGATTACTCTAGTGTGTCAAAAGGATGTCACTAGATCCCACCGCATAGGCACCATTATTTGCTACTGTAGTGACTCCCGACACTCAGTAGCAGTGCTTAAGGCTGAAAATTAATCTCCTTTTTACTGGATATTGATCCTTATGTTTCCGCTGCCACCACGAGACTTTAAATGTCTCGAAAAAAAAAATGAAAGGGAGTCTGGCGAGTTCTCCGGAGGCTTTGCTAGTGAAAACACACCATCGGGCTATTATTTATTCTACAAAAAATACAACGACAGGTAAAACACGTAACAAATAACAAAAAAACGTGACACTAAAACATGACAAAACGTCGCAACATTAAACGTGACACGAAACAAAAGTAACAGTAAAACTAGACGCAACACAAAAATAACAGTAAAACTAGACGCAACACAAAAATAACAGTAAAACTAGACGCAACACAAAAATAACAGTAAAACTAGACGCAACACAAAAATAACAGTAAAACTAGACGCAACACAAAAATAACAGTAAAACTAGACGCAACACAAAAGTAACAATAAAACTAGACGTAACACGTCACATAGAACGAAGTACTAAAACGTGCTACAGCACAAGCGCATCACTAAAGCACTTAATACGTAACGAAACTTAAACACTTAACACGACACTAAAACGCGTAGCACGTCTAAACACTAAAACACTTAATATAGCACGTACTGCTGCACACACGACACGGTACGCGCAACACTAACTTAGTACAGCGGTAACACTTGGTGTGACGGAGTACCGGAATGCGGAGGTCGGGTCGCGAGCACGTACGGGTCAGCGGTACATAACCTGCGGTACAGCAGCCGGCGGGTAAGAAAGCCATGGTGTTGTCGTCCGCCTCCTCCAGGAGTCTACGTCTCTCTGCCCTCCTCCGAGTACCGCCGAGGTTGAGGCAGGTTTACCCGGACGTCTTGAAGACTGGCTAATACGGTCGTCCGCTAGTTCGCTCGTTTACTGGCCCGCTCGTTAGCGTGGAAGCATCATCTCGCGGGGCACAGGGGGCCGAAAACATGGCATGGCACAGTGGTGGGGCATCGTGCCACTACAACCTTCCTTTGGATGCGAAAAGTACTGCGACAACTATAGAGGACCTGTAGAAATATATGCTAGAATAAAGGTTCAGTCAGACCTATGCTCTAGATAGTGTAATGTATATAATTACCATTGTTTGTCGTATTTTTACGATGAATATTGAAACCTCTACGCTCTTCCTGATTGTAATTTTATCACTCGAAGATATGTTGTTTTTTTAAGAAAATAATAGTTCAAGAATTATGATCGATCCACAATTGCCTTCTCCATAAACTTGCTAAGCCATTTTGATATGCTAGATCCGATGTTCTGTGACATCGAAATGCATGCTTTCTTTTTCAATATGAACTAAATACAAATAATCGCAAGAAGACACTAATCTGAGCATGATAAAGATAATATAATTGACAATATGTGTGAATGCAATTTTAACATTTTCCGTATCGCGTAAATATCGGAACAAAATGACGTGAAGAACTAATGTGTTGATTACGTTAGTACACGTTTTCTGTTCTGCTGAGGATTCTAATTACAAAGAGTAATAAAATAATAAAATAGTCCAACCTGGCATAATGTATTCAAGGTCCTGTAGCAAATAATCAATGAGTGTCACCAAACCCCGCAGGAAGTAAAGGAGATTTTTCTGTTCCTAGTAAGCATATATTGATTCGTTTAGTAGTACCAACTGTTTATTATGAATTGTACCATATATTGTAATAAAATTGTATATTGCGATAAAAGTAAAGTATCCAATTCCATCTATTTCTCATTCTCGCGGTTCAGTTGCCAAGTATTGCCATGCTCAACCGATGGATCTTTAAATATCGCTCTAATACGACACATTTGGGCGATTGTACATCCAAATAGAAATCGGAAATCAATTAGCATATCTTCATGCAATAAACAGTATCTGAAAGAGAAGCTACAGTAGGTTCTATTATAAATGCATGTTGTATTTCATTAACTGAAGGTGAAAGATTTTTTTCTCAGAACTACAATTTAAAGCTTCGCTGTTTGCAGCAAGAAAATTGTGTTTATATCATTAGAAAATTTAAATTATTATTTAAAAATATTTGAATGCGCAGAAAACAACGAAGGCTTCTATTTTTGTGGTACATATTGAAAATGGGTATTTTCCTTGAGGAGAAAAAACAACAACATAATTTTAAAATCTACGAAGTCGTTTACATAAGTTATGATTTATGTTTATGTCATTTTCCACTGTGTAATACAACACGTAGTTAAAAAAAATGATCCTATGCAAGGGATGTATATAGAGAATATGAGGATTATGCAGAAACCTAAACCGGTGAAATGTAAAAACTGATGAAATCGGACCTTTCATTATCATTTATCTCATTTACCTCCATTTAACCTAAAGAGGACCGTCTCGAGACAGTCCCTTCAACATTAAAGTTAAAAATTAATCATAGATGATACTTGCTGGTGACCCTTCTGGGCGGCTGAAAAGGCCGTAACGGGTTGATTTCACTTAGAAGAAAAAAAAAAGTCATTTCGCTAAGAGTGCCGGCGAATATGCGGTCGTTCATCCTCTGATCACCACGAGTCTTTCATAATCTCGCCGGATTTTTTAATGCTAATGAAAGAACATCTAGAAGAATATATGAAAAAAAGACAAAACAATAAATTAGCACGGTACAAGTTCGACAAACTGACAAAAGTGGCAACATGAGATGATTAGGTGAGATAAAGATGAAGTGAAGCCTCAGTTAACGTATGTGAACGCTGTAATATCGTTCAACGAAAGATCAACTCAACAAATACAGGCGAAGAAATTTCAGAGAAACTCGACAGATTTCCCTCGAGTTCCACGCAGAGCTCGGATCCCCTTTGAGCGACATGCTGATCCTCCACGGAAAGAGGTTGAATCCCCTACAAACCGCCAAAGGGAAGAATGCGACTTGAATCCTACGTCTATTGCCACCAGAACCTCCGAAAAGGAGGAGGTCGAACTCACAATAATTCCATTAAAAATAATTCTGATAGAATTTTGGAGAACCATTAGATCCAGAGAAGAGGAATTAATCGCGGATATCTTTCCTCCAATGGATACCATCTCTAGCGAAGAAGTTCAAATCCACCGTAAAAATCTGTAATGTGGGTAGAGGAGGATCGGATCCGCCGTGCCCTCGCAAGTATAGACGTCACAAAGTGTGGGTTTGTATCACAGCGCTTATACACAGACGGACGAAAACACGGCGAAAAACTTCTGTGCATTTTCCGTTTTCGCCTTATTTTCGTCTCCGCAGGGGCCGGTGGATGTCGTGAGAACAGGTTTTGTGAATTAGGTAAATATGCGGCTGCCATGTCGAAGGATGAAGCACTTAAGGGGATCATGTAAGGGGACATTGCATGATTTGTTTTGTAGTGAAGATCAGAGCCTAATATATTAAGCGTTTATTACTGCTTGCTTAAAGCCTCCGCGACGCCGACCCTCGCTCTTCGCCGCCTGCATGTCACTCGGGGCCTCGGAGTTTCGAGTTAGGGGCTTGGCTACTGCGCTAATGTGATTATCGTAACCAGCATTGTCTGTAGGATTGGGAAACTTCAGGAGACATCAGTTGTGATTGTTTGCATGTAAACAGTGTCGTTTAAAGAGAGATGTTTGCAGGAGAGCGTGTACGTGTATTTGCTAATGATGATGACAATTTACAATGGGATTATACAAGGACACAAGTTCTTTGACCAACAAACCCCACTGAAGCCCAGAAAAAACATGTATAGTGTCTTCTGAATGCCACACAAGATTATACTGTGGTATAGTTTCAACTTCCCACAGCTTTATAATGCAAGGTAAAATTTGTCCGTAATGGACAGAATGACTGAAAACACTTTTCATGTATGGTATTCCCTTTGTAAATCGATAAGAAAGTTGTACAACGTAATGCTTCGGTATTCATTTACAGAAAAATGTAATGGCACTATATTAATCAAAGAAATAAACTATACTCAAGTAAAGCACAAAATAATCTGCTTATGCAGAAAATAACATCAGAAATAATGAAACCAGGTTGCCACAAATGCGGTGTGGAGAGTAAGTCCATGGCGATTGGATAGGGTCGGGGGCCGGAGTCCCTGATAGGGAAATATTGGATGGGGGTTTAGTGGAGAAGCCCTGGGTTGGGAAGGTTTTGGTTCATACAACAATGTTTGTGGATTTTCCAGAAGTGGCTGGAGTAATAGGGACTTAGTCTCAGAGGGGTGTGGTCAGTACATAAGCATTACTAGTACTTTCAAATGTATAATTTGTGATGGAAAATAATGAGATTCATGCATAATACAGCATTGATAATTAAATGAAGGAATAATAATTGCAAGATTGGATGGATGACTGTGTTAAACTAAAAAATGACTGCAACAAATAGAAAAAGGTATACTTTTAGTTTTTCACAGCCTTATATGGTACAAGGTAAACTTTGCAAATATTAGAAAGATTGAATGAAATATAGCTATATAATACTTAGTACTTTGGTATACATTTACAAGAAAATGTTGAGGTGTAGCCCATTAGGGAATTGTTGATGATGGTGGTCTGGATGTGAAGTCCTCAGGTTAGGAAGTTTTTTTTGGTTCATAAGGTGTGGTTTGGGGATTTACTAGGAGTGGGTAGAGTAATAGGAACTTAATCTCAGAGGGCTACAGTCACCTCGGAAACAAGGCCAATACTTCCATTTTTATCTTTTACAATGGAAATGATAGTTCAATGTGAATGATTGAAATGAGGAATAATAATTTCAAGGTTGGGTGGATGTGTGATACTAAGAAAATACCGTAAAACTTGCTGTTGTTTGTGAATAACTGAAAGTATGGTCAATAAATACTGCACTATAGTGTTGTAGGAAACATTTGCCAAAGAACTAAGAGAAAATGTGGATAATCTTTTTGGTATAGACACATTAAGCTAGAGTAAATTGACAGGTATATTCTTGTATAGGACAAAACATTGAAGTCGTTAGTACAAGAAATAATCTGCAGACCTGAATGGTAGCATTGTAAGTAAAGGCAAAATATCGCAGAAAATGCTACTCACAGCCAAAGTTCAGAATCCTAAGGGTCCTCAAAGTTGTCAGTGGGATCATCCATGAATAGCAGGGGGTTGAAAGGGGGTCAGTGAATGTTTACTAGGGGTCAATTCACTATTGAGAGGTTATTTGGCAGTGCCACTCTTGCCTGATTGTGGATGCCCTTCCTAATTAACTGCGGTTCAGCGTGCTAACACTTGTACCACGGCGGTGATTTCCCCTATGACACCTGCTTATGACTTTTCAAGCCGATGTGTCATTTACCTGCCATGAGATCGGGCCCGAGCCAGCAGTCAGAGTACAGATAGTCCCCTACTTAAGAACATTCTACTTATAAACATTCCATACATACAAACAAAATTTTTGAATTACTAAAGTCCAAAAAATTGTTTTAAAGATGCTAGCAAACTTCAAATTTCCCGGACGCGTATATAGTTCAAGAGTCTGGTACTGTATAAGGTATGTTGTACTTATTGGGATTTATTTACAGGTATTCTTAATCTAAACAAAACTTTAAAACAATGGGGAAAAAAGGTAATGGAGACCCGACTTTCGACACACAAACAAATCAACTTACAAACAGCCTCTTGGTCCCCATTAGGTTCTTAAGTTGGGGACTTACTGTACATGCATTTTTACGACCACTAACACGGGACTACGAGGGTCGGAGTCCAGTGTTCTAACCATTGGACCATTGCGGCAGTTACATTATATATATATATATATATATATATATATATATATATATATATATATATATATATATATATATATATATATATATACATACATACATACATACATACATACATATATATTTTATTATATCAAATCAGTAATTTAAGGCAATAGGTCAGAGTTTCAGTAAATTCATAATTTTCAGCTCTGGCAGCACTACCTTCGACACTTCCCACCCCCCATTCATCATCTGTTGCAGCTCTACTGTCCATACAGGATATATATTCTTCTCTGCAAGACTGAGTATATCCCCATCCACCCCTGACTCTCTCTCCTGCTTTCAGGAAAGCCAGTTGTTCAGTATACTCACAGCTCACATTGTTGTCTGTGAACTGATTATTGTGATTTAACCCAATCGCCTTGTATGCCATGGCCAATGTAATAACACTCCCCATCCCCCACTCATCATCTGTTGCAGCTCTGCTGTCCATACAGGATGTATATTTCTGTCTGCATCCCATACAAAGTGACTGAGTGTATCCCACACCCACCCCTGTCTCTCTCTCGCTTTCAGGAGAGCCACTAGTTCAGTACACTCACAGTACACATTGTTGTCTGTGAACTGATTATTGTGATTTAACCCAATTGCCCTGTATGGCAAGAATACATACCATGCCCAATATAATACAAGTTTATTTACTGTAGTCACACATACTACTACAAATCATATTGATTTTATCATCGTGGTTTTTCTTTTTCTCCTTGATTTAAAAGCTAGCAGGTTGATAGAAAATTTGAATCTTCTTTGTGGGTCAACAAGTTTAAAAGTTAAGAAGCTTTAAGCCATTGACATTGAGTTAATGTACTGTCCACTGTAGTTTTTAGTGAATTTCGTTGCACACAGATGGCTCCACAAGTACTCAGTCAGCAAGGAGGCAATTAGTAGGCCCTAGTGATTGTGTTTGAATTCCCCATTCCTTGACTTTGCAAGCTATTAATTTGGTAATGTTTTAATTATTATTGATATTATGATTATTATAATGTTATTAACCCAACGGGTCTAGATGCTTCACTACCATCACATAGCCCAAATTATGGGCATTAGGCTTACTTAAGCATTCACTCTTACTCATGTGCAGTGACAATGCTCCTTGGCTCCCCTTTGCAATGTTATTTTCTCTTTTCTGCATAAGTGCATTTAGCTTTTTTGCCATTTTGCAGTGACTATATGTCATATCTCTATAGTCAGTGCAATAATTATATTAATAAATACATTTTTAGCATTTCTTTGTGTGTGTGTGTGTGTGTGTGTGTGTGTGTGTGTGTGTGTGTGTGTGTGTGTGTGTGTGTGTGTGTGTGTGAGTGAGTGAGTGAGTGAGTGAGTGAGTGAGTGAGTGAGTGAGTGAGTGAGTGAGTGAGTGAGTGAGGTGTGTGTGTGTGTGTGTGTGTGAGTGAGTGAGTGAGTGAGGTGTGTGTGTGCGCGCGTGTGTGTGCGTGTTTGTGTGTGTGTGTGTGTGTGAGTGAGTGAGTGAGTAAAGTGTGTGTGCGTGTGCTGCCGGTGATTTCCCAATGCAAAAGCCCTCTCTCCTGGGCTGTATTCATAGTGGCCCAGGCCCTGATGCCAGGGGATTGTGTCAGCACCATAGCGTGTGCAGCATTACTGTACATTCCCCCGGAAAATGGGACCAGGGCACCATGGCACATGTGCATATTCCACCTGGAATATAGTCAAGGCATGCCAAGGCATGCCACTCAGCGGCAAAGGGTTATTATTCAGTTTTCTGTAAGACAACCTTTGGCCAGGAATAGGATCCTAAGCATGGTGATAGCATCCTTCCAGGAGCTGGTGCTCTTACAGTCATGGTTCAAGGATGGTACAATCCACATTTGTTATCAATAGAAATAATGCAAAAGGCCCTTCCTAAATTCTAAATGAGTCTAATCACCCTCCATGAGCTTTATGCACCCTGGCCTTCAGCTGAAATACTCATGATGGCAAGTTCATGTCTCCCTGGCCCAGAGCCAAATTTTCCCATGACAGCATGTTCACGTCGCCCACTCCAGATCATCTGGATTGTAGGGGTTGAATTATTACAAGTGGAGAAAATATTATAATAAAAATAAGTCTTTCTGACAATCAAGGAAAAGGCTTGATAGTTGAGATAGCACAAATAATTTATTTCTTGGCGACTAACCTACTTATGGAACCATCACTGTGTAAACATAACAAACTAAAATTACAGTGGGCATGGCATGTAAGTTACATTGTCTGTGGTTAGTTGGTTAAGCCTACTTATGAGATGCTATATCTGCTCAATGCAGCCAGGACCAAACAAGTGCACAGTTGTTTAGTGTGTACATCTTAGTGAAGACTTGATTGCCTTGCAAATGGTAATAATTTTTGCTATATCTTTAACCCATGCTGGGATGGCATGATCTCTCAACTACAATTCAGATTTTCTACTCTATGAATCTGGATTCTTTACTGCCCACATGTGGTCCCAGATATGGGCATTAGGCTTACTTGAGCTGCCACTGACGAGCATGTGATTTGTAGGCTGAGTGTACGCAAACATTTGTCTGTAGTGACAAGACTTCATGCCTCCACTTTACAATGTTATTTCCTCTGTTTCTACACAAATAATGCAAATATTTCTGAAACACAAGGAAAAAGACCAGCACATGAGAGAGGTAGTAGACTACTAGTAATTGGTTCTTTGGTGACTTGGTACTTGTGGAGCAGTGTGTAGAGATCATTATTAAACTAAACTCACAGTGAGCATGGTTTATGTACATGCTATTCCTGGTGGCCCTTGGTTAATAATATGTGCACAAATTTCTCAAAGCAGTACAGTGAACAATGCAATTATTGGGCATGAATAGATAAATGGACTATTATCTTTTTTATATGCTATTTCATTACTATATTTCTGTAGTGAATATCAGTAAACCAAGAATATTTTGAGGATACTGAACAAGAGGAAACTATTTGTACAGTACAAGCATTTCACTCTTGGTTGTAAATCTAGACTATATTTAATTTGGATGATAAAGAAAGTGTTCTTTCTTCACTTTTTCCTTGATATGGTCTTATCATAAATGATGATATATCAAGAATGGAAAAGTGAGTGGACATTACATAATGCATTGAAATTCAGGTTTTAACATTATACACCATTGTTTTTATTTAAAGATATTTTATTCATATGTGTGAACCCCACACAAAAAGCAGAAAAATTATGATAATTATCAATAACCCAGATCTTTGTTGACTTCTTTATAAGCATTTTTTCCACTTTAAAAATCTTTGCATTAGTTGAAGTGTCTTGTTGATGGTAGTTACATTTCTGTTCTCTATGATTACATAATAGTGATAAGAGAAAGAGTTGTGTTATTAAGGAATATTTTTCTTTTGAATGTCCTTTGTTCTGGCTTATTTTTATGTAAGAATATAGGAGTTCAGATGTTGGTAATTTTTTGGCATTGTTTGTTAACAAAATGTTCACTATTAACCTGATGCTAATGGGTGCTGTATACCCAAATTCAGTTAGACATCTTACATCAAATATAGTCTGCTGTTTAAGGGAAAAATTAGCAGCTTGGGAAACACTCTCTTTGAGTTTAGCTATATCATGTACAATAATCTAGCGAACAAGGCAGAAAAGTGACTTTAGCCTACTCTGAAAGCGCGCTATAGCTATTAAATTGCTGTAGTAATGGCCTAGCAGGGACACAACTGTTTAGCACCCACAGCTTTGAGTGACCTCAATGCATTTGACTGTGGGTTATTTGATAATGGCATAGATCCCTCCCTATGAACAGATAGTTTTGTGGTATTACATAAATTAAAGAGTATGATGATATGCTGTACTGTTGTATATACTTGTATAAGTTATTCAAATAGTGAAGATGTTTGTTTTTTATATATTTGTGTGTGAGACTGCAAAGTTAGCCCATTTTAGTTTTGGCACTTTCATTGTGTAACTGTTTCTACCTTTACCTGTTCCATTGTGATTGGGTGCTCCACAGTTCATCAGTACTTCATTTAGCAGCACTTGTATTACCTATTATTTTCAAGTGGCAAGAATGTGACATGCTAATTCGTTGTGCACTTTTTCCAGGGACAGCGTATAGCTTGTCTCATGTGGACCCTGGAATTTTTGAAGCTGGAGTTAGTTCTCCACCAGCATAGACAAACATGAAGGAAACTGGGTCTGCTGCAATAAAGGCTGCTCAAGAAGCAGCTGCAAAGGTCAGTTTTTCCTTGCAAAAGAATAGTATTTCTCAAACTTTCTTGGATGTGGTCTTAAACAGAGATTTTGGGGGCTCAGCAATGCCCAGGGTGGAAGCACGCTTTCAGGGTTTCTCCTTTAGGTTTCATCTAATAAATTCAGGTGGATTACTCCTAATTTGATAATAAGTTTGGGTATTTCTTATTTCTGGTATTTTACACTTTGCTTTTTTTTCGTGAGCATTTCTTTTGAAACTTCATTACTTTTCTCTTTTCTTGCAGTGCTCAGTTTATTCTTGTTTAAGGAAAGTGTCTGTAATCAACCTCATACTTTTTTATATGGGTGATTTGCTATGAATTTTATGATTAGATTTATATTTGATTTTTTTCCCCCAAAAAATCTTATGTCTTCATTATTATTGGTTCCCTCTTTCAGATCATTATGTCAGACACTAGCCTTGGTGTTTCTTGCCTTTGTTAATGTGCTATTAATTTTTATATGATAAAGAAGTTTTTTCCTCAGTTAAAACTACTGAAAGTCTGTGTTTATAGATAGTTAAAAGTGAACCTAACCCTTGAAGAACCATTTTTCTAAAAGTCAATTGAGAAGTAACTCCATATTGCTTTGCAAACCATGTTTTAGATGTAGGCCAATGAAGACTTTTCAGTGAACAGTGAAGTTATTTTAGGGATTTTGTTATTTTTGTTTTATATATTGAAAGGAATTTTTTTGTTGTATCTGTTGCTAATCAAGGCTAATAGACCTATCTCTCATATTACTACTTGTGCTTGTCAGGCTTTGGATTTTACAAGTTCTGCATTTCATTCCTCCTCACAAAGATTCATGTAGTGACAACAAAACTAGACTAGTTCTCTGGAAAAAAATGAGTAAGGTTAATCAAGGGCAGTAATCAGAGACAAAAAACAGTATTTTTTAGTTTTCATTTTAACTCCCAAAGAGGAGAGAAGAGAGGGAGTAAGAGGGGGAGAGAGGGAGAGAAAGAGATAGAGGGGGAGAGAGGAGAGAGGGGGAGAGAGCTGCTGGATGGCAAATATCTGTGCTGTGCACAGTTAGCCTGCTTGTATTTGTAAAACAGTTATATAGTTCTTGGGCTCTGTCTGCAGTTATAGATCTACAGTCTCTCTAAATAGCCTGATATCCTGGGAAATCATGTATGCTACAGGTAAAAACCTAGTGTATGTGTATTTTCTTTGCTAATTTCATTAGTGTAGCACACTGTGCAAGTGTTTGGCTTTGTATGGTGCATGAAAACCTGTTATCATTGGATTATCATTGGTTTTGAGTTTTTCCATGTGAGGTGCTTCTGGGTGCAAATTTTTGCTTCATTGCAGGTGTAGGTGAAAGGGCTCTGTTGAGCTGTAATACCACACCATTTGATCTTATAGGTGTGAAAGAATTAAGACAAAGAAAAACATTAAATAATTCATGAAACATTATATATATTTTCAGGTTGATGCAATGTTGGTGGCATCAGGGCAGCTCAAGCTGTCTGAGCTTCACAAGAACCGGACCAAAAACAGTAAATCAAATGACCTCTCCATTGAAGAGGTTGTTATTAATGATGCCCCCATGAGTGCCAGGAATTTCCTCACTCGGTCATCAACACAGGAAGAGATTAGTAAAGTAAGTAGTATTAAAACATATAGAAAGAGTTGAATAGCAGAGAGATGACTTTTTGTGTTTTAAATAGATTGCATCCCAACTTTTTCTTTTACAAGGATTCCAGTCAAACCCAGCCATTTTGAGGAAGGTGATGGTAACCATCTGTGTGAATGAATTATATCCTTAGAAAGAATTACTAAGACCCAAGAAAACTTATTGCACAATCTGTTTGATTGTACTCCATCACTCCCTGTGGGTGGCTTGTAGACCATGTGTACTTGAACTTTCATGTGCAGTGTCAAGACTCCTTATCTCCCCCTTACATTTTTTGCCATTTTTCAGTGTTTGTATCTGTCATCCAGATGGTAATAGACTGTTTTCCTTGCATAGACACCATACCATCTCACCAGATAGTCCTTAATTCAGTGTACTAATGATAACAATAATTATTTTTGTCATTAGATATGTTTTTATTATTTTGGGATATTCAGTTTTCTGTAATATCACCTGTGCTGCTTGTCATGGTGGGCAGGAATAGGATCTTGAGCATGGAAAGTGTCCTCCCTGGTGCAGGTGCTATTCCAGTCATGGCTTATGGACAGTACATTCCACATGCATTTATCAATAAGAATAATGCAATAACCCCTTCCTAACTGCCCACTGAGTGTAATTGCCCTCCAAGGGCTTTGTACACCTGTGGCAAATCATTTCTATCACCCTGGCATTCAGTTGAAATTTTCATGATGGCACATTCCCATCACATCTGCCACCAACTAAAGTTTTCCATGACAGAATGTTCACTTCACCTGCCCATCATACCAAAATTTTGCATGACCCTGATGGTCAGATCATCCAAATCCAAGGGGTTAACCCCAACAATCTGGGTGGTGTGACCATCACGTCATGAAAAAATTGACTTGGGAGGTGAATGACCTGCCATCATGGGAAATTTTGGTGGAGGGCTGAGGTGAAAGGAATGACTTTCCACAAGAGAACAAAGCTCTTGGAGGGTGATATAACTGGAAGAGTGCCAGCTCCAGGGAGGAAGCTGTTTCCATGCTCAAGGTCCTATTTCTACCCATTATGACTGGCAGTGGCGGTTGTATACAGAGATGGTAGGGAGTCTGTGCAAGAAAAACAGTCTGTTATCATCTGGATAAAGCAAATCACATCTCAAGTATAGACATTGAAAAATGGCAAAAAGGCTAAAAGGCATAAAAAGAGAAAATGACATTGCAAAGGAGAGGCATGGAGTCTTGTGACTGCACACAAATGTTTAAGCCACAAATTTGTCAGAGTAGCTGCTCAAGTAACCCTAATGTTTACTTGAACCATGTGTGGGCAGTAAAGCATCCAGATCCATGTTGTAAACTTATTTTGTTGTTTTCCAAATTATCTGCATGTTCTTATAGCTTTCATGCGGTAGTGGATATAAGCTTACATTTCTTGTTACAATATAAAACTCCCTTTTGTTGTTTTAGTATATACTACCACCACCACTACACATCACCACTACACCACATCACCACATCACCACACCATCATCATCATCACCACCACTATCACTGCTTCCACCACCACCTCCTCCTTCTCCTCCTCCTCCTTCTTCTCCTCCTCCTCCTCCTCCTCCTCCTCCTCCTCCTCCTCCTCCTCCTCCTCCTCCTCCTCCTCCTCCTCCTCCTCCTCCTCCTCCTCCTCCTCTTCCTCCTCCTCTTCCTCCTCCTCTTCCTCCTCTTCCTCCTCCTCTTCCTCCTCCTCTTCCTCCTCCTCTTCCTCCTCCTCCTCCTCCTCCTCCTCCTCCTCCTCCTCCTCCTCCTCCTCCTCCTTTTCCTCTTCCTCTTCCTCCACCACCTCATCTCACTTCACCTTATCTGAACTCACCACACTACACCATACCATACCATATGTCATCACATCCCACTACAACACATCACACCACCACACCATACCACATCACATTACCTCACCAACCAACACACGACCATCATCATCACTATCACTGCCACCACAACCTCCTCCTCTTCCTCCTCCCCCTCCTCCTCTTCCTCCTCCTCCCCCTCCTCCTCCTCCTCCTCCTCCTCCTCCTCCTCCTCCTCCTCCTCCTCCTCCTCCTCCTCCTCCTCCTCCTCCTCCTCCATGGCTACCACCATGACCACCACCATGACCACCACCACGACCACCACCACCAACACCACCATGACCATGACCATGACCATGACCACCATGGCCACCATCACCACCACCATGACCACCATGACCACCACCACCATGGCCACCACCAGTACCACCACCAGTACCACCACTACCATGACGACCACCACCATGGCCACCACCACCACCATCACCACCACCATCACCACCATGGCCACCACCATGGCCACCACCACCACCATGGCCACCACCACCACCATGGCCACCACCACCACCATGGCCGCCACCACCACCATGGCCGCCATCACCACCATGGCCGCCACCACCACCATGGCCACCACCACCACCATGGCCACCACCACCACCATGGCCACCACCACCACCATGGCCACCACCACCACCATGGCCACCACCACCACCATGGCCACCACCACCACCATGGCCACCACCACCACCATGGCCACCACCACCACCATGGCCACCACCACCACCATGGCCACCACCACCACCATGGCCACCACCACCACCATGGCCACCACCACCACCATGGCCACCACCACCACCATGGCCACCACCACCACCACCATGGCCACCACCACCACCATGGCCACCACCACCACGGCCACCACCACCACCATGGCCACCACCACCACCATGGCCACCACCACCACCATGGCCACCACCACCACCATGGCCACCACCACCACCATGGCCACCATCACCACCATGGCCACCATCACCACCATGGCCACCATCACCACCATGGCCACCATCACCACCATGATCACCACCACCACCATGGCCACCACCACCACCATGGCCACCACCACCACCATGGCCACCACCACCACCATGGCCACCACCACCACCATGGCCACCACCACCATGGCCACCACCACCACCATGGCCACCACCACCACCATGGCCACCACCACCACCATGGCCACCACCACCACCATGGCCACCACCACCACCATGGCCACCACCACCATGGCCACCACCACCACCATGGCCACCATCACCACCATGGCCACCACCACCACCATGACCACCACTGCCACCATGGCTACCAACACCATAACCACCATGACCACCACCACCATGGCCACCACCACCACCATGGCCACCACCACCACCATGGCCACCACCACCACCATGGCCACCACCACCACCATGGCCACCACCACTATGGCCACCACCACCATGGCCACCATCACCACCATGGCCACCACCACCACCATGACCACCACTGCCACCATGGCTACCAACACCATAACCACCATGACCACCACCACCATGGCCACCACCACCACCATGGCCACTACCACCACCATGGCCACCACCATGACCACCACCACCACCAGCCTTGTGACACATAGGAATGTCTAAAATAATTTGGTTTGAGTGGCACTTGGTTAACCTTTTTAGGTATATTAGAGGCAGACATGGCATGCTAGAAACAGAAAATTGACTTTTTAGAATAAATGACAAATTATGTTGGTGTCTTTGGTAAACTGACAAAATACATGGCTCAAGGTCTTAAAGTTACATTTAGTATGTACTTTTCAAACAATTATGGCCCCATCAGATGTCTGGTGCTGCAGTATCGACACGAGGCAGATACATGACCCAAGAGGAACAAAAAAACCCAAACAAGAATCCAGGTGATCGCCCTCTCTACCTCCACATCCAGGCAGTGAACCAGCAAGATGTGAAAGGTAGGGTGGTAGTAAAGGGACTGACCATAATGATGCCAAGAGGAGCACTGTATCATTGTGTTTGTCCAGAGTTTATTTTTTTTTCTTATTTCAGTTTAAATTATATATATTTAATAACAGTAATGCTCCAGTCCTGCTGCACCCTTGGAAACTCAGACGCCATGTCTGCATCCACATTAGATGAAAATCAGCTTGTGCCTTTCACAAGTTCTATTAGCAAGTTTTATGTTGCAAATGTATTATAATCACCTACACATAAATAATTTTATTTCCTACTTTCTGAAAATGAAAACACACTTTCACTCATTAAGCATTGCTTAGGAGCAGTTGTCAAATCTATGATTTTTCTTCTTCTGCTGAGGCACCTGCAGATAAGAGTCAGTCTTTGATCATTAGTTTTGTAGATTGAATAGTTATAACATTTTAACATTTCCTCAGTCAGATTTCTTATTGTAGATTTTTGTAGAAATATTTCATCCAATTGCAGTCATTGCCAAAGACCAACCTCTCCACACTAGGAATAGTACATACTACATAATTATTACCAAATAAAAATTGTCACCTCCAGACTCATGTTGTACAGTTGGCTGAGTAAATATGTGAACTCCTTAAAATTATCAAGCATGGATTTTATCTCGTAATACTGTAGTGCATTCAAATATTTCATCTACAATGCTCAAAATATTTTCTTGTCTGTCCTAGTGGCAGTTGGGCGCATCATGCACATCATCATGGAACATAGTCACCGCAAGGGACATGGCATGCCTCGTCCGAGGGGTCCTAGACCCAACCCTGCTCCAGGCCTGATGGGTCCAAGGCCCGGGAGTGGCCCAAGAGGTCCCCGTCCAATAGTGTTCAGGCCTCCGAGACCAGACATGTCTGCTCCTCCTCCACAGTCACAGCCTCCTCCTCCACTGACTAAT